AACCAACTCATGCTAAGTTGTTCTATCCCTTGCTATCGCATGCAGTTTACCCTATGTCCTCCCCATTTTCGTTACTTCACTCTCTAGCTCCCTCCTCCATGCTTTTTTTTGGGGTCTTCTTTTTTCCTATGGCTCTGTGGGTTCCCGTGCAAAGACATTCTAGTTTTACTGTTCTCAGATTTTCTCAATGTATGTCCTATCCAACAGCAGCGTCTTCTCTTGGTCCACTGCAACTTGTTTAGTTCTCATAAAGCTCTACATTAGTGATTCTATCATACCATTTACTTCCCTCTATTCTGCACAGGGCCAGTTAATGAATGTCTGTAGTTTATTAGTAACTGCCTTATTTGTTATCCATGTTTACGCTCTATACAACAGTAATGATTTGACATTAGAATTACAAATTTCAAGTTCCGGACTAGTTTTTATGTGGAATTAGCCATGTAATATATGCTGGGACAGGAACGGTTGTATGTCTGCATCTTTCTATGCTTCGTTCCCCAACTCCCTTTTGCTTCCCTCCTGTTCCAGTGTGAAACTGCATTGTGCCAACTTTGCAAAAACAACTGTCATGCTTTTTTTTTTTTTTTTTTGCATTAATAATGAAGTCTATGTTTGGCCTCGATTTCGGATGGATTTAAACGAACCGAGGCAGACCAAGAAGACGATGGAGATATAATGTCCAGACAAACCTGTAAACACTTGGGGTTACCAAGTGGAAAGAGAAGGCCAACCAGAGAGATGAATGGAGGCGGGTGATATCTGCAGCAATGAACCTCAAGGGCTCGGAATGCTAAAGAAGAAGAAGAAGAAATTTGACACGGATCATGACAAATAACATGTATGGAATACAGTCCAGCATCTTTGATTCTGTGTGCATGCATGTTATATATAATAGAGATACAGATGCATAAACACAAAATTATGTATGACATTTATTTAAGACAGTTAAATTCTGTATAACCCAATTAAAATCCTGAGAGCTGAATATGATGTTTACTCCTTAAAAAACTACTAGTACTTTTCTGTGGCAATGAAAAAATAATTGTGCACACTAGTGAACTCTCACATGCAGTTTATAATATACTGTAGAACGAACAAGAATGCTGTTAGTAAGATCTTCAATATAAGAGCTACCGCTGTGAAAAATATAATGATATGATTTAGAGTCTAAACCCACCTTACCTGGGCATGAGGAATACTTGGAGTATTGTGGACTGCACCTTGTCAGATGAGCTGAGGGGGAAAATAAAATCAATGAAAGATTACAGTATAAAATGAGATCACATTTTCATTTAAAGGTAGATGTAGTCACACAAGATATACCCTGGAATGGGAAGTGTTGGGCCTTCTCCCATGCCAGGTCTGTAGTATGTTGTTGCTGACTGCACTCAATTGGCAGGCAGCTGATTATTTCAGAAAGGTGTGTAATTTTGTGGTTGCAATGCCAGCTTTCGGGATAGGCCGTCTGTGCCAAAAGGGAGCTGTAATTTTGGTAGAGAAATAATAGCAATGGTATATTTGACAGCAGCAGCCTTATGCATAGTTACTGTGCGTGTGCAAGTTTCTAAGATTTTGCTAGGACTGACTTTTTCTGCACTAGTTTTCAAATGGGAATGTGCAGGAAGGACACTATGCAAGATGGCCTATGGCACAGAAACAGAGCCGCTTCTGGGTGAGGAGTCTGCAGTGATGATGGAACCTTTACTACTGACTAACATGTTAGGCCATGACTTGAGTTGAGCTGATCAGTTCCTTCTTTTCTGATGTTCCTTGCCTGACAATTCTGGAAATTATTTGGTATCCATTTTCAAAGAAGCTGGGTGGACACCCCCCCCTCCCCCTTTCCCCTCTCACCCCAAGGAACCAACAGTCTGCATACAAATAAGCCAGATCATTTGTAAAATAAATGTGCACACAAATCTGAAGTTCTGCAACAAGACCAAAGTCCAGAAATGAACAAACACCCAAAACTTACTGCTGGAGTTTACAGCCGGTGAATGCTAAGATTAGTTTTACAATTTGTTCCTCCTGTTAATCCTGGTACAGGCTTTTCTCTTTCTTAACAGGGTGGTTAACACAACAAGTTGTGGTTTACAGCTAGGCTCTAATGTCTGCACCTTTTGGCCCAACACATCTGATTTCAGCAATCCTTTAGTAGTCACCTTTTACAATATGCTTGTCAGTTTGTGGGGTAATGGGTCAATTCTTTTTCCAACAGGTCCCCAGAATCTACACAGGGACTGGTACAGGTCTCAACCTGAACAGCTGTACTTACAACATGGTTATAGAAACCCACCTTTACACATGAGTGGTGTTCGTGGCTTAGGTTTTGTGAGTCCGACTCGTAATTCCAGCGTACTGCAATCGAAACCCACTGCTGGCTACGTGGATTTTTATCATGGTATGGGGCCTCACAAGTTGACCCAGCCTCAAATGGGATAGCTGTCCTGGGGAAGTAAAGATGGCCGGCGTAATGCTGACCACATTACCCACCTTCTGCTAATTGGTATGTACAAAAATATGGGTGCTCTTCTCATATGCCCGATGGGCCCATAGGCGTGGAAAGGGATCTTTACTTTTTTTTTTTTATCCTTACACATGTGTGCCTACCACCAACATATTTGCCAGGATGAAAGAACATACATAAGTCACCTGCCCACCGGCTGATAAGAGAGGTGGCACTGTCTGGCAAAGTTACACTGTTTTACAATTGTTTTTCTTATTAAGGCTTATCATACTAAAAAAGTGAAACATTGTAAAACCACTGCAAGGTGAAAGGGAATATTGCTGAATATTTCCAGGGAAAAGAACAAATAAAATAATTTGCTTGAATGACTGACTTTCAACCCCACCAGGACCGCACAACAAGCGAACAAACACCTGATGACACAAAGCTCCAACACTCGGTTGAGGATCACCAAGGCACAAGTTCCAAAAACACTGTACAACCCGAAGGTTACATTTAGGGCCCCCAACAACAGCCGGAGTGGGGCTTTAAAATTAAAAAAAATTGAGACTTATAATGGGGCAGATCAAATTTGGCCGAATTTGCCTGAATGAAGACAAGTGTGGATTAGGAAAAGAGGCATCATTCTGATTACTGACATCATAGCACACAGGGCATACCCTAGATGCTCCGTCTCCCACAGCAAATGATGTAAGGTGTAGATGCTTACTGTTCCCATAGAACACTGATTATACACACCTCGATCTCTTCCTCTCATCCGTCCCTCCTTGCCGGATGCACACTTTATTCCTTGTTCACACATTCTTGCCCATGTTATTTCATCTAATCTCATGTCTTCTGCCAAAAGTCGTTCATATATAGTCTTCAGAATATCTCCCTTGTCTAATAAGAGTGTTCCCATAGCTTTCACTTTTGTAGCCAGAAAATCCGTTCTTTCATTCCCTCGCACTCCTGCATCACTCACCAATTGAGAATGACTTTCTAGAATACTTAATGAACAGGCTCCAAGATGAAATATTTTAGATCAATAATAAAAAAAGAGATATGTAACTGTATTACCTTTTTTCTTCTTTTTGAGCATCCTTTTGTTGACCCCAATAGCAGAGTTACATTTATTTACAACAGTGGTTGTGATATACTGTGATTGTGGGTGGCTAGATTGATTGTGGAACGATTGATGTGTGCTTACAATCTGCAAGCTGTCCTGATGGAGTGGAGCATTCTCTTGTGCGGTGCTTACTGGACTCTGGGAAGGAGGTAGGCCTGATGACTGAAACTGGTTAAGTGCAGCAGATGTTTGGCAAGTCTCTCCATCTGCTTGACTTTCAGGTGATGATGATGCTAGAGCCACATGTGTAACCGCTTCAGCAGAAAATGTAGACTCAAACCCACTTGTTGAATCATCAGATTTTCGAGAGACTGTATTTCCTGAAAGCCACAACCCCACTAGTGGTGTTCTTGTATGCCATACATCTGAGCTGACTATCAAACAGCGACAGCGCTGGAGAGGCTGCTGGTTGGGTACATGGTCGTAAAGGTGTTTTTTGAAGAGTGCGGGTTGTTAACGGAGTTCGAGGGGTACCAGCCAACCGGGTGTTTGAAACAGCAGTAGCAGCAGCTTTGTGGCTGGCTGTTGTACGTGGTATAGGCAGACGTGGCTGGGATGGTTTAATAAAGATCTTGTTATCATCAACAGTTTTATTTGAGGCAGAAGCTTTCCCTCCTTCATCATCCCCAGCGGTGTTATTTCTGAGATTACAGTCATTTTTACAACTGAAACTGGCAGACATAGCTTGAATATGATCATCATTTCCTATCTCTAGCAGACCGCCATTTTCTGGCCGTAATATAACACATTTATTTGTCAGCTGACTGGCTTGATCAGTCAAGGCCTGTTTGGCAGTTGTCAAGCAAGCATCAGACATGTCCTGGTTCTGATTTTTGTCCCGCACACCATCATCATCATCATCACACAAGGAAAGCAAACTTTGACATGGTGATAAAGGTGACCCAACAATCTCTGAAATATCCTGGCACTGCTCTCCAGACGGCACAGCTGCAGGGACTGCATGACCATCAGGTTTGCACTGTTTGTAAAGACCATCACCTTGCCCTGGAAGCAGAGAGTTGAAGAAATCTGACATCACTTTCTGTAGCTGTGACAACAAAGTTAGCTGCTTGGCCTCTGGTGGCATACTTATTCTGAAGCCATCTTCCTGTTGATGGTTGTTGCTACAGATGTTGACTTGTTGGCTCTGCTGTCTGGAGGACTCTTGCCTTATCTGAAGATCAGGACAATGTTGCAGGTGGGTATCTATGGATGTGCTCTTGGGTGTGCTGTGGTTTATGGTATATCTAGCAGAAGCGTTATTGACACAAGAATCTACAGTTCTATCGCATGATCCCTCACAAGTAATATATTGTGCTTTATGTGCAGTAGCATTTGTTGCCCAGTGATGCCTGCATGGCTGTCGATCACAACCTGGACTCTGCATACTACCTCCAGTTTCACAGGCCTCTTGTCTCCTTCTCATATGACTAGATGTATGATCTGTAACTGCATGTCTGCCACCACAACTGTCTTGCTCTTTTTGACCAAAGATAATTTTCCTCTCAGATGGATGCTGTTTGTCACCAGCTGACTGTTGTTTCCTTGTTTCGCTCCTGCTAAATGAAGAGGTAACAAGATTACCACTGTCTGTGTACCTGTGCTTCTCGTAACTGCTCTGGTCTTCCTGACAGGTTGAGTTTGACATTTCCTTTGAGTAAGAATTTGGTCTGCATTCTCTATGGATCTGGAAATTATTTGCATGTTTGGCATTCCTGTGTTTCTGACTCTGTGAGACATCACTACCAGTTTTAGGATTAGTGTGTTTACTCAGCCCTTGGCAGAAATTTAAGTGTTCAGTCTCTCTACCTTCACCAGGGTACGACCTATGAGCATTACTACAGGCAGGGCTGTAACTCCTCCGAGTTTGTGTAGATGCCCACTGACTAGGTTTCATTTGATTGTCAGTGGGACCACTCTCTATATGTTCATTGTTACTATCACCTTTAGCCATTTTTATCATCTTCCCTCCAGAATCCTGTCTAATATTGCTGCCATGTTCTGTATGAGCAATGTCACCAAGGAAAGAATTCCACACAGCCTGCCTGGTTCCACTGCCAGAATTCTTCACACCACCTACAAATGAATCATTTTGAGCTAAGTCAAACCCCTGAATTGTTGTGCTGCCATTTAATGAGTTTTGTGCAGGCAAATAATCTTGCCTGCCCCATTGAACAATATTCTCTCCCCGGGTACAGTGAGGAGACATCTGATCTGTGTAAACATGATTCCCTGAAGGATCAACGTGAGGCATGAAGCTGCCCATCGGTGCCGCTGTCCTGTTCACATCTGTCATCCAGTGGATACTTTCAGATACTTTCTCAATTGTGCTCAGCTTATTAGATAATTCACTGAGGCCTTCCATCAGGAAAGCTGTCAAGTCTCTGAAATATGGCAGAAACAGAAATTACACTTTAAATCTACTAGAATTTGGGAAATCTCTATCACTTTAATGACACAGCTTTCCCAGCAACAACTAAGTCACAGCTTCACAGATGGGCTCATAACTAAGCCTCTGGCCAGTGGGATTTTGACAACATCACTCTCCGAGTGCCAATTTGTCTATAAAAGTCTAGAACTTGCTCATACAAAGTGATGATTCCCAACTTTTTCATCAGATGGTTGCAAAACTAATGATGACATAGCTCTCATAACAACTCATCAACTAAAACTTTGGCCAGCGTGATGTTGACCACATCACCCTCTGAGTGACAATTTGTCTATAAAATAGAAGTCTAGCACTATATGCTCAAAATGCCTGACAAGTAGAATAGGGTCTTTTATCTACATTTTCATCACGGGTGGTTCCCAAACCTAGGGATGATGACATAAAGAAAGGTAAGTACTCTAGACAACAACTTGATCATGGATGGTTCCCAAAATGTGGGACCAATGACACAAATAAAAGTAGCATCAGTACCCCAGGATGGATGCACAGCTATTTAATACCTCTTCCAAAACCAGATAACGATCATTCAAAACTCAGCAGTTTCAGAATTATCACTCTTCAAAAACTTTGGCAAGGTGCAGGAGAAGATTACTGATGTTAATCTGCAAACTTTTTTAGAAATAAAAGAGTTCTTGCCAAGAGGTTGAGCAGTGACCGGCCAGGAAAAGATACCTGATCAAATGCAGCCACATTTGCTTTGATGTTTATGAGGGGTTCCAGAGACAGATGGGAGACACTGGTGGTGACTCCTAAACTTAAGGACACTTACAACAGAGTCAGATATGATATTTTGTGATCTGCGCTCAAAGAGACAGAGGTCTGTACTTAGTTTGTGAACTAGATAGCAACTGTCCTGCATTCACATAATGTCCCCTCCACCTGAGAACATGGACCTCAGAAGCATGTAATATCACCCCGGGACTACCCCAGGGTTCTGCAATTTCACCAGTGCTCTTCATTGTGTATGCAAGCAGGATTGCAGAACTTTAAGCATCAAGGGTTGGAAGGATACTGACATTTGCAGATGATGTTCTTGCATACAGGCAGGGAAGTGATAGGCAACAGACAGCCCAAGAGCCACTGGCTGTATTTTATCATTTGCAGTGATATTTGCATCTGTTATGGGACACATTTAACTTTGCCATTGTATTTATTAGCTGAATATACCTTCCTGAATGTTCCTGTATAGAAACTATAAACAATATCAGTTAAAATGTTTCACCAGAAATCAAGCTAATGTGGTAAAGGGAAGGGATGTTTTAAGTATGTCAAGATATTTCTTTTCTTTTGTCTTTAAATTTTTTTTTTAAACAGAGTTCTTGTCATCAATTTTAAAAAATGTACAAAGTTAAATACTCCAAAAAACTGCTTTATCCCCTTCCCCCCTCCCCTATCTGCCACAAAACAAGAGGTAAATTATTATTATTCTTTGCTAGAATTGTTCTGAGATAGGTATGTTCCCTGTGTGGGTTCCAGGTCTCTATTATAGGGAAAACAAAAATAGACCCACTGCCAACCCAAAAGTATGTCGTAAAAGTCGACTAATTGGGAGCTTTCTTCGAACTCAGAGTGCATCTGCCTGAGAGGCAAGGAACTAATAGTCTGCATACAAATTAGTCAGATATGTCAAACGGATGCACACGCAACACTCAGGTTCTGGAACAGGACTGCAGTCCCGAAGTGGGCGAACAGCCAGAATTTTCCGCCGGAGTTTACAGCCGGTGAAGGCGAAGAAGAAGAAGAAGAAGGAGGCAGGTATGTAACAAACATTTATGTACCTAAGTTGGTGGTCAATGTGTCTTAGGTATGCATTTGAGGCTTACCACATCTAGATATAATAGTAAAGGGCTCTATACCTTCAGTGGGTATTTTAACCTTCTGACAATGCTGCCAGAACAAGCTAACTGCAGATTCTGAGCAATTTCCAACTGTCACCAGATTTGTAAATGCTCTAATTGCTCATTATGTTTATCATTTTCTGAGAAGGCTGGAAGTGTAACAGTACCAGCAATATCACGAGGCAGTACAATATTGGCATAAACAACTGATATTTCTGTTTTTAAACTCTCAGCCCTACACAGTAAGCAACTACTGGTGTCAGAGACACTGAACTCTCTCAGTACTGTATCTCATGCCACTGTAAAAGCTTTGTGAAAGACAGTTTTGAAGCTTTCTATGCAGATGTAAATAACACAAACCTTGTTGAGCTCTTCTCACCACCATCATCATCTTTGTCGGGGTCATCATTATGTGGCTGGCCACCATTTCTTGGTTTATTGGTTCCTACAGGAAACAATAAAATACCACTCACTGCACCATTGATCATAAAACAATGTCGAACTCCACATTTAAAAACAACTGGCTATTAACATACAGACACAGTAAATGAGTAAAACAAGAGACTGTGAATATACAGATACAGTAAAGTAAAGTAAAGGTCCCTTTTCAATGCCTTCAGGTGCATTGGGAATATAGGGCTAGACCTACATTTTTATAGACCAATCCATACAGATTCAGTAAAAGAGCAAAACAAAAGGCTATGAACATAAAGTCACAGTAAATAGGTAAAATAACAAGCTGTGAACAGTCACAGTAAATGGGTTAAACAACAGGCTGTGAACAGTTACAGTAAATGGGTTAAACAACAGGCTGTGAACATACAGTCACAGTAAATGTGTTGAACAACAGGCTGTAAACAGTTACAGTAAATGGGTTAAACAACAGGCTGTAAACAGTTACAGTAAATGGGTTAAACAACAGGCTGTAAACAGTTACAGTAAATGGGTTAAACAACAGGCTGTAAACAGTTACAGTAAATGGGTTAAACAACAGGCTGTAAACAGTTACAGTAAATGGGTTAAACACAGGCTGTAAACAGTTACAGTAAATGGGTTAAACAACAGGCTGTAAACAGTTACAGTAAATGGGTTAAACAACAGGCTGTAAACAGTTACAGTAAATGGGTTAAACAACAGGCTGTGAACAGTTACAGTAAATGGGTTAAACAACAGGCTGTAAACAGTTACAGTAAATGGGTTAAACAACAGGCTGTGAACATACAGTCACAGTAAATGTGTTAAACAACAGGCTGTAAACAGTTACAGTAAATGGGTTAAACAACAGGCTGTGAACAGTTACAGTAAATGGGTTAAACAACAGGCTGTGAACAGCTACAGTAAATGGGTTAAACAACAGGCTGTGAACAGTTACAGTAAATGGGTTAAACAACAGGATGTGAACAGTTACAGTAAATGGGTTAAACAACAGGCTGTGAACAGTTACAGTAAATGGGTTAAACAACAGGCTGTGAACAGCTACAGTAAATGGGTTAAACAACAGGCTGTGAACAGTTACAGTAAATGGGTTAAACAACAGGCTGTGAACAGTTACAGTAAATGGGTTAAACAACAGGCTGTGAACAGTTACAGTAAATGGGTTAAACAACAGGCTGTGAACAGTTACAGTAAATGGGTTAAACAACAGGCTGTGAACAGTTACAGTAAATGGGTTAAACAACAGGCTGTGAACAGTTACAGTAAATGGGTTAAACAACAGGCTGTGAACAGTTACAGTAAATGGGTTAAACAACAGGCTGTGAACGTTACAGTAAATGGGTTAAACAACAGGCTGTGAACATTCAGTCATAGTAAATGGATTAAACCACAGGCTGTAAACAGTCATAATAAATAGGTTAAACAAAATAATGATGCTCTGTGATGATGCTTCAAAAGATTCTCTGGAACAAAATCTAATGTATAGATTGAGTTTATATTTTACTAATACATTACTTAGTGGTTCATATTAATTTGTGATTAATTTTGGATGAATTTTAACCAGTTTTCCTTGAGTGCCATGGTGGTAAGTGGAAATTGTTTTATTTCAGTTTACTAATTTTTGTAAACATGCTGTCTGTTTATTTACTAATTATTTACGCAATTATTTGTTGTAGCTGCATTCTATAATTATTCCTCAACAATCCCTGGTCACTTTGATGTATAACATGTGTATGTTGCGCGGCAATTGAATTAGTATGGTCTGTTTTAATGTATTACACTTTTAAAATAAAAAAATTGCATTACCTTCTTCTTCGTCTTCTTCGCGTTCACCAGCTGTACACTCTGGCGGAAAGTTCTGGTTGCTCGTCCACTACTGAACTGCAGTCCTGCTCCAGAACCTGAGTGTTGCATGTGCATCAGTTTTACAGATCTCATTCTCTTGAATACAGACTGTTGGTTCCTTGCCTCTCCAGCAGATGCACTCCGACTTCAAAGGAAGCTCCCCAATTAGTCGACTCTTACAACATGCTTTAGGGAAGGCAGTGGGTCTATTCTTGTTTTCCCCCGGAACCCACACAGGGGATTGCATTACCACCTCTTGGGCCTCTGATGCTAAAGCCCCTGGGACCGAAAGAGTTAATGCCTAGACACCTAGTTTAACTTCTTATGTTTCATAGTGTCTATGAAAATATCCTAAGGGCTAAATTATTTACTGCTTCTAAGCTAAACACTGTAGGATAGAAGACCTTAAAGTAACAACTGCTTTGGGACTGAAAGAAAGGTTAAAGAAATGCAAATCTCCACTCTACATCACTAAGAAATATCAACAGGTCATGTCAAGAGTTACCTTGTGTTTTACATAAAGTCAGGATATACTTGATGGTCTTAACCAACTCCTCATCCTGACATTCTGTGAAATAGTTGACTAAGGTATAATAGCCTCTGCTTCCATTGATAAGCTGACAGTGCTCTTCTGCAAACATAAAAGTAGGTCAAGGAAATAAACACTTTACCACGCCTTCAGGCACACTGGGTATATAGGGCTGCACCTATATTTTATAGACCAAATGGCACTTGGTGGGTGATGTGGTCAGCATAACGCCGGCCGATTTTACTTCCCAGGACTGTACCTGGTACCCACTAAAGGCTGGGTCGACCTGGGTTAACCCATTTACCGGCCGCCTTTACTTCCCAGGACTGTACCTGGTACCCACTAAAGGCTGGGTCGACCTGGGTTAACCCATTTACCGGCCGCCTTTACTTCCCAGGACTGTACCTGGTACCCACTAAAGGCTGGGTCAACCTGGGAGCCAAGGTCATTTTTTTTTTAAAAAGTCTGGCCCCTGTCAAGACCCGAACCCACCACCTTCTACCCAACCACAGCGGCTCACCTGACAACATGAAATGTTTGCATTAATTAACTGTTTTAAAAAAACTGTCACTACTGACTGTATGTACCACTTTCTATGGCGGTGTAGATAGAGGGTAGTGAGGTTGGGGATTCAGGGCCGCATGGCTACTGCTATCGCCATGGACTGTACAGGTTAGGATGTTTAATTTTGCCCTCAACAGAAAAACTCCATCACCCTATTGGGGTGGGGGGGGCTCCTACATGGCGGCCCAACGCTGTAACCACTTGGCCAGCCACTTGTATTAATAAACATCAGTCTTAATTCCCTGTGCAGGTTTATTGTTTTGCTACCACACTAAGAAATACTTCAGTTTTTCAACAGTCATGTGTATACATTTATGTAAATCAACAAAGTATGTCTGCAATATAAACTTGAATAACCGTAAATGTACAAATATTACTGGATGTCCATAATATCCTAGTGTTCTTTTAAAGTTAACAATAACAAAGATTATAACACAAATATTTCAAGACTTCCATAATTTCTTAGTTCGCTTCACTTCCTTCTAGAAAACAAAATTACCAAAAAGTAGACCATGTTCAACCGGGAAAATTTCTGGTGTGGTTCTTCTTCTTCTTTCGTTCGCCTGAAATAAGTTGTCTATATCAGCAATTTAGTCTCTTGTATAAATTTCACTGTGGTTGTTAGTTCATTCAGTGGTCTATAGAGTTTACGTTCTTCATAGCATAGAAGAACACCACAGGACATGGACTATAAGAAGAAGACAGGAGACAGAAAGTTTTGGACAGTCATGACTACCAACACCACACGACATGGACTATAAGAAGAAGACAGGAGACAGAAGGTTATAGACAGACATGACTACCAACGCCACATGGCATGGATTATAAGAAGAAGAAGAGGCCTCTGTGTGAAGTGGTCTCAGGTAAAACTGTTTAAAACAAAACTGCATTTGTGAACTAAATAACAGTCTTTCTCTTCTTCTTCGTAGCGGTCACCAGCTGTAAACTCTGGCAGAAAATGCCAGTTGTTCGCCCACTCCTGGACTTTGGTCTTGATCCAGTACTTGAGTGCAAATTCATTCTACAGATCTAGGCTTTCTGTATGCAGACAGTTGGTTCTTTACCTCTCAGGCATATGCATTCCGACCCTTGATGGAAACACCCCTAATTAGTAGCCTTCTATGACATGCTTGTTAGGGGGCAGTGGGTCTATTCTCTAAAATGGAGCCCCAGAACCCACAAGAAAAAAATGACAAGAGTCTAAACCAATTACCTTCAGAATGTGAGATAAAAAGCTTGACAACATCACCATAGATTTTTTTTATCAAGAATGAGATCAAAATTCAAGAGTATTATTCTCAGAAGAAAGATATTCTGGAATGTTCTCTGGATATTTCCTGTTCTACAAATTGTAGATGTAAGTCTAAAAAAATAAGAACTTACTGCTTGACTCCAGCACATGAGCTAAGGTGATGATGAAGATCTGCATCTGACTGAGCTCTAAGTTGTTAGTCTCAAGGAGATCCAACAAAATCTGAACCAAGCCTAGAGTCCCAGCCTGGCTTCCACACTCCTCTGTCGGTGAAAGAAAATTCATTATTATACCAGATGTAGTCAAGACTGAAAGTTACCACATGTGTGGCCGATTGAAACAGTTACCACATGTGCAGCCCCTTGTTCTGCTACCCCTTTGAGTGTGCTGGAAGCAGCAGTTATCCATGGTCATGCTTGACATACTGTCTCGTAAGCATCACTATCCTCTTTTATTGTTCTTTCCATCCTTGTGTGCTGTGTTTGCCCATGCCCATCTTGACCCACACTTCGCAGTCCCATCTGTGTAAGTGACGATGTCTTCCGGGCTTGAATGCTAATATTCTTCTTCTGCTGCGTTCGACATTAGTCATGCTAAACATTGAGTCCCATCTGGGTCACAAATAGGATTGTGCGTTTAAGGTCGCCACCGGTCCCCCATAACTTCTCTTGCAATGTGGCTCCCTTGGGCCAGATCCACAGTCTTTGCTGGGAGAGGTTAGGGCAGTACTGTGGTATGTGTTCAGGGGTTTGTCTTTCTGCTCCACAATCACAGGCAGCAGATTCTTTTATGCCTATCCTGTACAAGTGTGCTCGAAGACCACAGTGTCCAGTCCGAAGTCTAAAGAATGCTAATCAATCAGTGCCCTTATCTCGGCCTCTACGGTGGCAGACATCTGACTCCTGCAGACCTCCCCAGAGTTATGACAACCTTAGACAAGTCATGCAGGTCTACTGGTGAATCTGTCCATTCTTTTCCGTAAATGATCTTGTCTAGGTCACACACTTGCTGGATTAGATATTCTGCCTCGGCCATCTAGGAGGAGCCTCTGTTGAGATCCATCCCTTTTATATCATTAATAGCGCTGTGCCGTGGGTAGTTAACGTCAGCTGATATTCTCATGTACGCTTTCACCTGTGCCACTTTATGTCTGGTGGCCATCGTCAGTAAACCCAAGACATACTGCAGTGTGTGGCACGAGGAGTCTTTTGTGTAACCGAGTATGAGTCTCATGGAATTATGGTCCAGTCTTTCTAGCTGAGTTCTATTTTTATTTTTTTTAGATATTGTATATTTGGAGCTGTGGTAATGCAGTGGCTAGTATGGCATCAGCCGACCCAGAAGTCATGTTTCAATCTCTATCAAGGATGAAATTTGTTAATGTTCATGAGTTAACAGGTCAACCCAACCCAAAAGAGGTACCTGTGGCCAGTACATGTGGCTGGTGGGATACTGACCACATCACACGTCCAGTGAATTTGGTCTTTCAAAATATGGATCTAACGCCGAATATTAAATTCATCTTCCCAGTGTAGGTTCTATGGCCCTCTCGTAGGAGGAAAAACAGAACCACTCCCTCTAACAAGCATGTTGTACAAGGTGAATAATTGGGGATTTGTTCTTCAAGTCAGATTACATCTGCCTGGCAGGTGAGGAACCAACAGCCTGCATTCAAGTAAGCTAAATCTATACCCAAGAATAAATGGGTCGGAGTCTATACAGATGGGTCCGCACAAAGTGCAGTTAGAAATGGTGGTGCTGGAGTGTACACAGAATTCCCAGATGGCACCAGGGATAAGTCCAGTGTACCAACCAGGAAGTACTGCCATAACTATGATGCAGCAACGCAGGCTATCAAGATAGCAACAGAGAAACTGCCAAAGGCTGATCTCGGCTCACAGAATGTGGTAATGCTGACAGATGCAAAATCCGAACTTGAAGCACTCTAGTCTAGGAAACTACCAGAATTGCAAACACTGCTGACACAACTCAGCCTTCAGCGAAGTCATAATGCAATAGATACCGTACAATTGTGGAGTGCCTGGAAATGAGAAAGCTGATCAACTGGCAGGGGAAGGTGCGACAAAAGTGCAGCCGGATGTACCAGTCACATACCAGCAAAAGAAAAGGATCATTAAATCAATCAGGAAACCACCAGCCCCAGCACAAGACGACTATTTTATTATGGACAGATCAGAACAAGACATTATCCTCCACCTCAGAACAGGGCATAACCGATTACATAACCACATGTACACAAAATTCAAGATAGGAGTATCAGCCATGTGCACCTGTGGAAAGGTGCCCCAGACAGCAGAGCATGTACTCCAGGACTGCACCGAATTTGACACATGAGGGCAAACCTTTTGGCCAGAAAGAACAACAGTGGAATGTAAACTCTATGGACCACTGAATGAACTAACAACGACAGGGACATTTATAGGAGAGACAAAACTGCTGATACAGACAACTTATTTCAGGAGAACGAAAGAAGAAGACAAACTATTAGAACATCCCTCCAATGAGCACTAAGAAGAAGAAATGCTGCAGTCAGGATATTTCTTCACCTTCATGGTCTTCCACTTTTGACGTCAAGCATCAAACCTAGATCCATTGCTCGATAAGCACAGGATTTTTCATTCTGTGTGAATGTACCATGTCTTCATTGTCATCAATACATTTTCTCTTGAGCACCTTCTTATTCCTCTAAAACAAAGACATAATGGTAGGTGCTAACAACAGAAATGAGCTAAGATACAGGGTTATTCAAAATGATGGAAACACTTTCATTCATGTATATTTCCCTGAATAAACATTTTATATTAATAATATACATATAAGAGAGAGAAAGGCCCAAAGTTCACAAACTTACATTAGAGGTTACAGATGTTCAATATGGCAGCAGTCTGCAGCTCAGCAAACATCTCAGCGGAGGCCGAAATCATCCCACCCAAGAGGAAGCTTCTCTTGAGTAACTGAGTTTACTGCAGCTGTGATACAGTTCAGCAGGCCATCCAGTTTTTTGTTAGAGATATTCAAAAATGTAGATCTTCCTCCTTTCTATTTTATGTACATCATTCATATTCAAGGACATCATTCATATTCAAGGAAATATACATAAATGAAAGTGTATTACTCATTTTGAATAACCCTGGATATGTAACTTGGAAATTAACTCTAATGAAACTTGCAAATTGGCTATAAATGTAACTTGGAAGGTAACCATGTATAATGTAACTTAACAATTAACTATAAATGTAAATGTAACTTGGAAGTTAACTATAAATGTAACTCGCAAACTGACAATAAATGTAACTTGCAAATTAACTATAACTTGGAAATTAGCCACAAATGTAACTTGGAAGTTAACTATAAATGTAACTCGCAAATTAACTATAACTTGGAAATTAGCCACAAATGTAACTTGGAAATTAGCCACACATGTAACTTGGAAGTTAGCCACAAATGTAACTTGGAAATTAGCCACAAATGTAACTTGGAAGTAACAGCTAAATATACTAACCATTGTCCACGATACAGCCATCAACAGCAGATACAGCACTGACCAATAGGTTTAGTGACAAGGGAGTCATTTCTATATCAACTTGGTGTCTGATAAAATCTATCAGAATTTCAATGCCTCCACATCTGCGGATTCTATTCTGATTTGGCACTGCATATGTATAGAAGAATACAAATTTAGCACAAGGAATGGACATCCACCGTGTCCATAAGAAATGTATTCGCCATTATATCATGCAAAAGCTGATTTGATTTGTGTTGTTCTTATAAGTAATAAGTAATATAAGGCAGGGGGAAAAAGTGATTTGATTTGTGTTGTTCTTATAAGTAATAAGTAATATAAGGCAGGGGGGAAAAGTGATTTGATTTGTGTTGTTCTTATAAGTAATAAGTAATATAAGGCAGGGGGAAAAGTGACAAAGCTTTAAATTTTTAGAAATGTTTACAAAATTCATTAATTGTCTTATTGTGCCATATTATATCACATAGGACTGACAGTCTATCTCTCCATTCGGTTCTATCATGTGCCATCTCTTCGAGATCATGGAGGGAATCCAGTCCAGCACCTTTGTCTTCTCTCATCAACATTCGCCTTAGGGTTCCTCATTTTTGTTTTTCAATCCATTTCCCATTTCATCTGGTGACTCTATTTGCCTCTTTGCAGAGTATGTCCAATATAACACCATCTTTTATGTCTTATAACTGCCGATACTAGTGGCTGTCCAGATATTTCTCTTATTTCTTCACTCCTCTTGAAAAAATCATTTTCCTCAGGCAGTCGTTTTCAGCTGCATTTAACTTGAATATTATTAAAATGTTCTGTCCATCTTTGGAGAATTTGTTTTTTATCTATGACTAGTGTTTTATAATCTGTTTTGAGGAGAGGAAGTGACCCTGATGACACTGACTGGCCATGCATGGTTGAGATTTTTTCAGTTCAAGTCTGCTTTTCTACTCAACCATGAGTCCTTCATCTGATGTAGTTTAAGCTGTACCGTTCTCTGCATGTTGTTAACAGCATACTTCTTTGATGATGACTTAGGATTACTTAAAAGGGCTTTGTGAAGGCAATGTTTCTCAGCCAGAAACTTGTGAATTTCTTCAGAATTTTCATCAAATTTTTTTTTTTTTTTTCCATTTCAGGACCCAAAATTTCTGTAGCAGTATTATAAACTTTCTCCTTTAATATTGGCACAGATGGATCATTACGGTCTGGGAAGAATGGCGCTGCTAGGAGTTACAAGGAGATCTGGCCGGCGCTCAACACTCAGGGGAAAGGCGAGACGGATAAATAATCAGACAGTTACTGGTGCAATTGGAATTTGAACTCTTTGCTTGCTGCTAAAGATGGGGACAGAACGCTTATGGGGGTGTCCCCGAGTGCTGTGATGTGGATTCTTAATTCAACATTCCTCCAATACTGTCTAGTTAGTTTCCACGTTCTGGTCAGCTGGCAGGATAGTCTGGAGTCGATCTTCTAGGATGTCAGCAAATGACTGTTGGATGGTTACTTTCTTCGGTTTGGAAACATTTATTCTTTTTACTGACTTGTTTCTTTGCGGAAATCTGATTGGCTGAATACAAATACTGAGTTTAGAAACAATGAGGCTATGATCCATCTAGCATTGGGCTCCACAAATGGATTTAGTCATCCAAACATCCTGCCTGACCCTTTTACTAACTATTACACTGTCAATGAGGTGCCAGTGCTTTGATCATGGGTGCATCCAGGAAGTCCTGTTTCGGGTGGGTAGTCAATAAATTGTGTTGGTGATAAGGAGGTCTTGCTCTGTGCAAGTCTGGAGGAGAAGAAGTCCATTACTGTTGCGGAAACCCACTCTTCACTTTCCAACAGTACCATTCCAGGGAATGTTAGCGGAGCCAACTCTTGCATTAAAGTCCCCAAGAATGATGAGCTTTTCTGCTTTTAGTACTGGTGAATACATGCAATTGTTCACAAAACTTATCTTTCATGTCATCATTATATATTTCCTATATAATGTTTCCTCCCGTATTGTAGGGATATCTTTATCGTCATTGGATGGTGATTTATTCCCTTGCCTACAACTGCTGGTTTAATGGCAAAGCTAACTCCTGCTTCTTACTCTCTTCAACTTTCCTCATGCTGCAAAAGAATATGCAGCCTGCCAGTCTTATTTCACTTAGTGCTGCTACATCAACATTGTTATCGAGGCCAATTCTCTTCAATCAGAGCAGTGCACCTCTCAGGTCTGATTGATTTCTCATATTCAATCAGAGCAGTGCACCTCTCAGGTCTGATTAATTTCTCATATTCAAGCACAGTGCGCACACTCCAAGTGAACACTTTGAGTGGGAAATACCTTCCCCATTGTTTTCATGTATGTCAACCGCAGAAACAGGGTACCCACCAACCACAGTAAGTTGCTTAAGTAAGGGTGGAGCAGGCAATGTTTAGGACACCTTTTGTAGCCCTTCCTCATGCCATGAAGATTAGCAGTGCATTCCTAAAGAGGGCCGATCAGTCACTCACTGCTCTGGTCAGTGCAAGACAACCTATGGCCTGTGTGCAGGTTTTCAACTACAACTACCAGTGTCCCCAGGCCTATCGCTTGGCCTCTGGCCTATCACCACAGGACCTGGATGAATTATGAATAAAGTGATGACTATAAAAGTATGAGTCAAGCATCATATACCGAAATTCGCCAACGGTGTGTACCACCAACATAATCTGGGGAAAGGTGAGATGGACATACAATCAGGGGAAAGGTGATACAGAAATACAATCAGGGGAAAGGTGATACAGATATACAATCAGGGAAAGGTAAGACGGATATATAATCATGGGAAAGGTCATACAGATATACAAACAAGGGAAAAGTGATAAAGATATACAATCAAGGGAAAGGTGAGATCGACATACAATCAGGGGATAGGTGCTACAGATAGACAATCAAGGGAAAGGTGAAACAGATATACAATTAAGGGAAAGGCGAGACGGACATGCAATCAAGGGAAAGGTGATACAGATTTACAATCAAGGGAAAGGTGAGATGGATATATAATCAGATTGTTACTGGTACCATAGGAACAGGAATCTTGCATTTGCTGCTGAAGATGGGGACAGAGCGCTTATGGAATTACCTCAAGTGCTAAGATATCAATTCCTAATTAAATAATAAAAATTAAACAACACAGTCAGACTCACCATTATTAGCCACAACAGAGGAGATCAATGTAAACACATGGGGCAGACACTTGTGTCCGGTTTCTGTGCTGACAAACTTCAGCGTGTGGGGCAGCATGCTACAGCAAACTTGCTGGTTGTGAACTGTAAATAAATATGAACACCTGCTGACTGTGAACTGTAAATAAATATGAACACTTGCTGGCTGTAAACTGTAAATAAATATGAACACTTGCTGGTTGTGAACTGTAAATAAATATGAACACCTGCTGGTTGTGAACTGTAAATAAATATGAATACCTGCTGACTGTAAACTGTAAATAAATATGAATACCTGCTGACTGTAAACTGTAAATAAATATGAACACCTGCTGACTGTGAACTGTAAATAAATATGAACACTTGCTGGTTGTGAACTGTAAATAAATATGAACACTTGCTGGTTGTGAACTGTAAATAAATATGAACACCTGCTGGTTGTGAACTGTAAATAAATATGAACACTTGCTGGATGTGAACTGTAAATAAATATGAACACTTGCTGGATGTGAACTGTAAATAAATATGAACACTTGCTGGATGTGAACTGTAAATAAATATGAACACTTGCTGGATGTGAACTGTAAATAAATATGAACACTTGCTGGATGTGAACTGTAAATAAATATGAACACTTGCTGGATGTGAACTGTAAATAAATATGAACACTTGCTGGATGTGAACTGTAAATAAATATGAACACCTGCTGACTGTGAACTGTAAATAAATTTGAACACCTGGTGGTTGTGAACTGTAAATAAATATGAACACTAGCTGGTTGTGAACTATAAATAAATATGAACACCTGGTGGTTGTTAACTGTAAATAAATATGAACACCTGGTGGTTGTGAACTGTAAATAAATATGAACACCTGCTGGTTGTGAACTGTAAATAAATATGAACACCTGCTGGTTGTGAACTGTAAATAAATATGAACACCTGGTGGCTGGGAGCTGTAAATAAATATGAACACCTGGTGGTTGTTAACTGTAAATAAATATGAACACCTGGTGGTTGTGAACTGTAAATAAATATGAACACCTGGTGGCTGGGAACTGTAAATAAATATGAACACCTGCTGGTTGTGAACTGTAAATAAATATGAACACCTGGTGGCTGGGAACTGTAAATAAATATGAACACCTGGTGGTTGTTAACTGTAAATAAATATGAACACCTGGTGGTTGTGAACTGTAAATAAATATGAACACCTGGTGGCTGGGAACTGTAAATAAATATGAACACCTGCTGGTTGTGAACTGTAAATAAATATGAACACCTGCTGACTGTGAACTGTAAATAAATATGAACACCTGCTGACTGTGAACTGTAAATAAATATGAACACCTGGTGGCTGGGAACTGTAAATAAATATGAACACCTGGTGGTTGTTAACTGTAAATAAATATGAACACCTGGTGGTTGTGAACTGTAAATAAATATGAACACCTGGTGGCTGGGAACTGTAAATAAATATGAACACCTGCTGGTTGTGAACTGTAAATAAATATGAACACCTGCTGACTGTGAACTGTAAATAAATATGAACACCTGCTGACTGTGAACTGTAAATAAATATGAACACCTGGTGGCTGGGAACTGTAAATAAATATGAACACCTGGTGGTTGTGAACTGTAAATAAATATGAACACCTGGTGGCTGGGAACTGTAAATAAATATGAACACCTGGTGGTTGTTAACTGTAAATAAATATGAACACCTGCTGGTTGTAAACTGTAAATAAATATGAACACCTGCTGACTGTGAACTGTAAATAAATATGAACACCTGCTGACTGTGAACTGTAAATAAATATGAACACCTGCTGACTGTGAACTGTAAATAAATATGAACACTTGCTGGTTGTAAACTGTAAATAAATATGAACACCTGCTGACTGTGAACTGTAAATAAATATGAACACTTGCTGGTTGTAAACTGTGAATAAATATGAACACCTGCTGACTGTGAACTGTAAATAAATATGAACACTTGCTGGTTGTGAACTGTAAATAAATATGAACACTTGCTGGTTGTGAACTGTAAATAAATATGAACACTTGCTGGTTGTAAACTGTAAATAAATATGAACACCTGCTGACTGTGAACTGTAAATAAATATGAACACTTGCTGGTTGTAAACTGTAAATAAATATGAAGACCTGCTGACTGTGAACTGTAAATAAATATGAACACCTGCTGGTTGTGAACTGTAAATAAATATGAACACCTGCTGACTGTGAACTGTAAATAAATATGAACACCTGCTGGTTGTGAACTGTAAATAAATATGAAAACCTGCTGACTGTGAACTGTAAATAAATATGAACACCTGCTGACTGTGAACTTTAAATAAATATGAACACTTGCTGGTTGTGAACTGTAAATAAATATGAACACCTGCTGGTTGTGAACTGTAAATAAATATGAACACCTGGTGGTTGTGAACTGTAAATAAATATGAACACCTGGTGGTTGTGAACTGTAAATAAATATGAACACCTGGTGGCTGGGAACTGTAAATAAATATGAACACTTGCTGGTTGTGAACTGTAAATAAATATGAACACTTGCTGGTTGTAAACTGTAAATAAATATGAACACTTGCTGGTTGTGAACTGTAAATAAATATGAACACCTGGTGGCTGGGAACTGTAAATAAATATGAACACCTGGTGGTTGTTAACTGTAAATAAATATGAACACCTGGTGGTTGTGAACTGTAAATAAATATGAACACCTGGTGGCTGGGAACTGTAAATAAATATGAACACTTGCTGGTTGTGAACTGTAAATAAATATGAACACCTGCTGGTTGTGAACTGTAAATAAATATGAACACCTATGGTTGTGAACTGTAAATAAATATGAACACCTTCCGGCCGTAAACTGTAAATAAATATGACTTTTTTTTTTCTTCAATGAAAAGATATCAGTTTAAACAAGCAGCAGACCTACTCAGCTTCAGACCACAATCACAAAAATACACTGAGGCTAGAAGGTCTTCATCAGCATATGACACAAACGGACGAAACAATTGCAAGCAATAAAACACAAAATCCCGTATCTGTACGTGGAAGGCTTTCACAAAAATATCTGTAACACATCTAGTCAGCAGAAGGAGCCATGTGTGGTACAGAAAAAAGGTACCACAAAAGAAGAGAAACAGGAGTAGCTGTTACAGCAAAGGTCATAACTCAAAATGTGTTAAAGCTGTGTGGGATATTAAAGCTTCAGGTGAGACACAGCCCATTAGACAGATATTATTTTCTGACAATCATCATCATCATCCTGCTGTGGCATTTCTATGGTAGGGCTTGCAGTCAACTCCTTCATTTCATATTACCCTGTGCGATCCTTTCCATGTGTATATAAGCCATTTAGGGCATTTTATCTCAATTATCAATGTTTAGCTTACGGTTCCTGTTGGATGTCTTCGCATTGTTAATCTATTTGTTTCTCATTTCTGTTTGCTTGTTTTGTGATACTGATTTTTTCATTATGCACGTTTTTTCAATTTTCATTTTGTCTTTTATAAAATATTAACCGGTTTTACAAACACGAATATCACAGTAGAGCTTTAGGGACTAAAACTTTAGTGAATCAAGAGCTCAGGAAAAGATTATGATGCTGGACAACACATAAGTTTTTTTTTTTTAAATTAATGGTATAAAAATAATGTCCTTTCATTGGCATCGACAGCGACCCAAAAAAATAGTGGAATAAAAAAAAAAAAATTCACATATGGAGAAGAAATTTTAAGACTAAAATACAATTCATAACCAGTTTAAATCACCTCGGATTACTAGCATCACAAGGGATGATAGACTGCAATGGATGGGGCACACAGAGAATGGTGGATAACAGAGATGAAAACCCCTTTCAAAACCACAATTTAAAGAGCATGAGACAAAAATGCAGATCAAACAACAAATTCTCACCATTCTGAGGGTTGCTGACACAGACTCCTATTGCTGTAATGACTGAGGACCAAGTGTTCTCATCTTCAGAACCGGATGCCAGGAAATCCCTCAAAAGAAAAGGTAAGCATATGTTATTCTATGTTTTGTTATCACAATTGATGTCAATGCACAATAGGCATTCTAATGCTTGCTCAGTCCTCCATTGCAACAGCCATTACAAGGTATCTCTCGTGAGTGTTTCCTTGAAAAGCTGGTTATAATGTCTCTTATCTCAGCATCGAAGGCGGCATAGGTGTGCCTCACGATCCTTTTATTCCCAGGTTATAAAATCATGTTAGGTAAGTATATGATCTATTCAAAGCAGTCGTCACATTATATTATACTGCAAGTAAGTAAGTAAGCCAGTTAAAACGTGTTTCCCCCATCTTCAGGTGTGTTGGGTACTGCTACTGTTAACCCCCATCTTCAGGTGTGTTGGGTACTGCTACTGTTTCCCCCATGCTCAGGTGTGTTGGGTACTGCTAATGTTTCCCCCATGCTCAGGTGTGTTGGGTACTGCTACTGTTTCCCCCATGCTCAGGTGTGTTGGGTACTGCTATTGTTTCCCCCATCTTCAGGTGTGTTGGGTACTGCTACTGTTTCCCCCATCTTCAGGTGTGTTGGGTACTGCTACTGTTTCCCCCATGCTCAGGTGTGTTGGGTACTGCTACTGTTTCCCCCATGCTCAGGTGTGTTGGGTACTGCTACTGTTTCCCCCATCTTCAGGTGTGTTGGGTACTGCTATTGTTTCCCCCATGCTCATGTGTGTTGGGTACTGCTACTGTTTCCCCCATGCTCATGTGTGTTGGGTACTGCTACTGTTTCCCCCATGCTCATGTGTGTTGGGTACTGCTACTGTTTCCCCCATCTTCAGGTGTGCTGGGTACTGCTACTGTTTCCCCCATGCTCAGGTGTGTTGGGTACTGCTACTGTTTCCCCCATCTTCAGGTGTGTTGGGTACTGCTACTGTTTCCCCCATGCTCATGTGTGTTGGGTACTGCTACTGTTTCCCCCATGCTCATGTGTGTTGGGTGCTGCTACTGTTTCCCCCATGCTCATGTGTGTTGGGTGCTGCTACTGTTTACCCCATCTTCAGGTGTGATGGGTACTGCTACTGTTTCCCCCATCTTCAGGTGTGTTGGGTGCTGCTACTGTTTCCCCCATCTTCAGGTGTGTTGGGTGCTGCTACTGTTTCCCCCATCTTCAGGTGTGTTGGGTACTGCTACTGTTTACCCCATCTTCAGGTGTGATGGGTACTGCTACTGTTTCCCCCATCTTCAGGTGTGTTGGGTACTGCTACTGTTTCCCCCATCTTCAGGTGTGATGGGTACTGCTACTGTTTCCCCCATCTTCAGGTGTGTTGGGTACTGCTACTGTTTCCCCCATGCTCAGGTGTGTTGGGTACTGCTACTGTTTCCCCCATCTTCAGGTGTGTTGGGTGCTGCTACTGTTTCCCCCATCTTCAGGTGTGTTGGGTACTGCTACTGTTTACCCCATCTTCAGGTGTGATGGGTACTGCTACTGTTTCCCCCATCTTCAGGTGTGTTGGGTACTGCTACTGTTTACCCCATCTTCAGGTGTGTTGGGTACTGCTACTGTTTCCCCCATGCTCAGGTGTGTTCGGTACTGCTACTGTTTACCCCATCTTCAGGTGTGTTGGGTACTGCTACTGTTTCCCCCATCTTCAGGTGTGTTGGGTACTGCTACTGTTTACCCCATCTTCAGGTGTGATGGGTACTGCTACTGTTTCCCCCATCTTCAGGTGTGTTGGGTACTGCTACTGTTTCCCCCATGCTCAGGTGTGTTCGGTACTGCTACTGTTTACCCCATCTTCAGGTGTGTTGGGTACTGCTACTGTTTCCCCCATGCTCATGTGTGTTGGGTACTGCTACTGTTTCCCCCATCTTCAGGTGTGATGGGTACTGCTACTGTTTCCCCCATCTTCAGGTGTGATGGGTACTGCTACTGTTTCCCCCATCTTCAGGTGTGTTGGGTACTGCTACTGTTTCCCCCATGCTCAGGTGTGTTCGGTACTGCTACTGTTTACCCCATCTTCAGGTGTGTTGGGTACTGCTACTGTTTCCCCCATGCTCATGTGTGTTGGGTACTGCTACTGTTTCCCCCATCTTCAGGTGTGATGGGTACTGCTACTGTTTCCCCCATCTTCAGGTGTGTTGGGTACTGCTACTGTTTCCCCCATGCTCATGTGTGTTGGGTACTGCTACTGTTTCCCCCATCTTCAGGTGTGTTGGGCACTGCTACTGTTTCCCCCATCTTTAGATGTGATGGGTACTGCTACTGTTTACCCCATCTTCAGGTGTGTTGGGTACTGCTACTGTTTCCCCCATCTTTAGATGTGTTGGGTACTGCTACTGTTTCCCCCATGCTCATGTGTGTTGGGTACTGCTACTGTTTACCCCATCTTCAGGTGTGTTGGGTACTGCTACTGTTTCCCCCATCTTTAGATGTGTTGGGTACTGCTAATGTTTCCCCCATGCTCATGTGTGTTGGGTACTGCTACTGTTTCCCCCATGCTCATGTGTGTTGGGTACTGCTACTGTTTCCCCCATCTTCAGGTGTGTTGGGTGCTGCTACTGTTTCCCCCATGCTCATGTGTGTTGGGTACTGCTACTGTTTCCCCCATGCTCATGTGTGTTGGGTGCTGCTACTGTTTCCCCCATCTTCAGGTGTGTTGGGTACTGCTACTGTTTCCCCCATCTTCAGGTGTGTTGGGTGCTGCTACTGTTTCCCCCATCTTCAGGTGTGTTGGGTACTGCTACTGTTTCCCCCATCTTCAGGTGTGTTTGGTGCTGCTACTGTTTCCCCCATCTTCAGGTGTGTTGGGTGCTGCTACTGTTTCCCCCATCTTCAGGTGTGTTGGGTACTGCTACTGTTTCCCCCATGCTCAGGTGTGTTGGGTACTGCTACTGTTTTCCCCATCTTCAGGTGTGTTGGGTACTGCTACTGTTTCCCCCATGCTCATGTGTGTTGGGTGCTGCTACTGTTTTCCCCATCTTCAGGTGTGTTGGGCACTGCTACTGTTTCCCCCATCTTCAGGTGTGTTGGGTACTGCTACTGTTTTCCACATCTTCAGGTGTGTTGGGTACTGCTACTGTTTCCCCCATCTTTAGATGTGTTGGGTACTGCTACTGTTTCCCCCATCTTTAGATGTGTTGGGTACTGCTACTGTTTCCCCCATGCTCAGGTGTGTTGGGTACTGCTACTGTTTTCCCAATGCTCAGGTGTGTCGGGTACTGCTACTGTTTCCCCCATGCTCAGGTGTGTTGGGTACTGCTACTGTTTCCCCCATGCTCAGGTGTGTTGGGTACTGCTACTGTTTTCCCAATGCTCAGGTGTGTCGGGTACTGCTACTGTTTCCCCCATGCTCAGGTGTGTTGGGTACTGCTACTGTTTCCCCCATGCTCAGGTATGTCGGGTACTGCTACTGTTTCTGAAGAAAAAAAATGTCTCAAAGCGGGTTCAAACTCAAGAACTTTGGGCTGGCAAAGAAGCATCTGACCACTAGGCCACCGCAGCTCAGAAAGACCTAGCTATATGCGATCAATCCTTCTGAAACAAAGGTGACCTTCTTCAACCATACAGGGTCAATCCTTCTGCAATGAAAGTGATATTCTTCAGCAATATAGAATCAATCCTTCTGCAATGAAGGTGATCTTCTTGAGCCACATAGGATCAATCCTTCTGCAATGAAAGTGATATTCTTCAGCAATATAGGATCAATCCTTCTGCAATGAAAGTGATATTCTTCAGCAATATAGGATCAATCCTTCTACAATGAGGATGATCTTCTTGCCTTCAAAGACCTTCTATTTAACTGACATGACTTACCGTAACAAATTCACAAGATCCTGCAAGCAACCAGTCTCAGCAGCCAATAGCTGCCCTTTGTCTAGTTAACAAACAAAAAAACCACACAAAGAACAAAGAATAGTATTACTAATATAATGTGTCTGTTTTTATCTGTCATTAGCTAAATATTTGTAGCAGAGTAATAGGTTCCTCATCATGGTGACTTGGAAAGAACAGTGATGGAGGCTAATTTCCAAACAAAATCAGGCAGAGGCAGACCTCCATGGAGGTGCATATAAGACACTGAACATGAAATGGCTTTGAAAGCAAATAGAATTTGAAAGCAAACAGAATATCCGTGTTACAGATCTGTTTATTTGCATGCAGACTGTTGGTTCCTCGCCTCTCAGGCAGATGCGCTCTGACTTTGGAGGAAATCAGAAAAATATGAATCAACACCATATACTTGATGTGCAGTTGGCGTAAAAAGGGATCCTTTCTTTTTTTAAGAAGGCATACCTGCCCACTGTTGTGGACATCAGAGGTTTAATTCCTCCATGAGTCCAATGCTGGCAGGTATTTAACTCTTTGTGTACTGTTATTTCATCATCATCATCATCATCCCATAACACTATGTGTCATTGGGTCATCAGTTTCTGTTGACTGTCTGATCAGCTCTCTCCACCTTTTATAGTCAGTTGCAATGGACTTCATGGCTGCATGCCTGAGGCCTGTCCTGTCAGTCAGGTTCTGTAACCAGGTCTTTCTTGGTCTGCCTCTTGTCCTCTTTCCCCTCTACTGAGCCCTGCAGTACTGTTTTTGAGAGGCCGTTAGATCTTATTATATGTTGATACTGTTGCATTTTTCGCCTGTTTACTGTAGTTGAGAGAAGTTCATAGTTGCCAATGTAAAGTTATTTAGTCTTAGAAATAATGTTCTGACACTAAAAGATGCAGTCACAGCCTTTAGCTCCAAGCACATGCCAGTTTATGGAAATAAAATTCAAAAAGAGCAACTGTAAAAAAAAAAAAAAAAGATTATTCACTGGGGTTCAATGAAAAGTGTCAATCACCCTTTGGTGATTGAAGTAATATACATACAACAGCTACTGTAGACAGATTGAGTTAGAAGAAACTGTGCAGGTCATGATACAAACAATGTGCACGAAAGCATACATTTTACAAGTTTGCTGTTTTGTTATAAATTTATAGGAACTGTCAGACACAATTGTACAGATGCTGTGGGCAGCCTTTAGCTCACGTACCTGAATATAAAAAAAAGGACCCTTTTCCCATGACTTTATGGGCACTGGGCACATAGTGCCAGGCCTATATTTTAAAGACAAACTGGCAGTCAAAGGCTGAAGTGGTCAACATCAGGCCGGCTGCCTTTACTTCCCAGGACTTTACCAGGAACCCATCTGAGCCTGGGTAAACTGGGAGCTAAGATCCCTTTTTTTTTCAGCTCCGTTAATTACCTAAAAATAGAGTATGATACAACAACAAAAGACTAACAAGTTGGGGGAAAAAATGGTCCTGCTACTTAATCATCAGAGATATGGTGCTTGATATGGTCAACCTCAACCCAGTTGCCTCTACTTTCAGGGACACTTACAGGCACCTATTTTAGGCTGGATCAAATTGCACAGGTCAGTTTTAACATTTCACCTTGTTGTGGACTCCAACCCCAGACCTTTGGGGCAGCAGGCTGGTATTTAGCTAGCCACTGTGTTATTATGGCTCCATCAAGGCTCAGATGTAAAGAGTTAATAGCCTATGCCCTTAATATAAACATCATCATCATCATCTGGTTAGCCAATATATGTCACCTTGCAATCTAGTCCTCCATTCCATTCTGTTCTGTGCAATCCTTCTGAAATGGATGGAATCCTTTTCTTCTTCTTCTTCTTCTTTGCGTTCACCAGCTGCAAACTCTGGCGAAAAGTTCTGGTTGTTCATCCACTTTTAGGCTTATAAAATCAGCAGCTTTAACATAAATGGCAAGTTAACAGAAACCACTACTTTGATAGTGGAAACAATAAACATTCATGACTATCACAATAAAAGTACATACTGCTTCCAGCCACTGAAAAGGCCAGCAAGAATGCTGCAGACTGTAGGAGTCTATCAGAGCTGTCACCATGAGACAATAACTCGTGGATCAAACTGAACATTCGCTCAGTTAAAACAGCATTCTGTGATGTTACTGTTAAAAAAAAAATTTTTTTTTTAACAGATTAAAAAAAATGTTATGTGGTCAAAGTTAATGACAGATCTAAACATTTATGTGTTCACACTATTTCGAGAACGTTAGATAAATTATATGACCATCTTTTGTTAACAAATGATAAAACTTTAGACTTTACATGTGGAGCCTTTGCTTTCACTTTTGAATGGAGGTCGCAGCTGGGACAAAGACCCAAGAATGGCTGAAAACTCAGGAATTCATCAGTGCATGCTTTCTCAGCGACTAAAAGAGCACGCTACAGAAGATCAAGGCAGAGCATATACGAAAACAGTGGCTCCATCTGATACAGCATGCAGCGTTTTGTAAAATCACCTTTTTTGTCCCAGGATATGCTGGTGTGAAAGGTAATGAGAGAGCAGATGCCCTGACTGGCAGCACAACTATCAGAAGATCAAGGCAGAGCATATACAGAAACATTGGCTCCATTTGATACAGCATGCAGCGTTTTGTAAAATCACCTTCTGTTTTGTCCCAGGTCATGCTGGTATGAAAGGTAATGAGAGAGCAGATGCCCTGGCTGGCAGCACAACTATCAGAAGATCAAGGCAGAGCATATACAGAAACATTGGCTCCATTTGATACAGCATGCAGCATTTTGTAAAATCACCTTCTGTTTTGTCCCAGGTCATGCTGGTATGAAAGGTAATGAGAGAGCAGATGCCCTGGCTGGCAGCACAACTATCAGAAGATCAAGGCAGAGCATATACAGAAACATTGGCTCCATTTGATACAGCATGCAGCGTTTTGTAAAATCACCTTCTGTTTTTTGTCCCAGGTCATGCTGGTATGAAAGGTAATGAGAGAGCAGATGCCCTGGCTGGCAGCACAACTATCAGAAGATCAAGGCAGAGCATATACAGAAACATTGGCTCCATTTGATACAGCATGCAGCATTTTGTAAAATCACCTTCTGTTTTGTCCCAGGTCATGCTGGTATGAAAGGTAATGAGAGAGCAGATGCCCTGGCTGGCAGCACAACTATCAGAAGATCAAGGCAGAGCATATACAGAAACATTGGCTCCATTTGATACAGCATGCAGCGTTTTGTAAAATCACCTTCTGTTTTGTCCCAGGTCATGCTGGTATGAAAGGTAATAAGAGAGCAGATGCCCTGGCTGCCAGCACGACTATCAGGAATGGGCCATCTATGGACAGGAGAAACATCATCAATGCCATCTATGAGACTAAACACTATGAGGCTTTCAGTTTCATGGAAAATGGCTTTTTCACTGAATAGACTGCATACCCTGGATGTACCAACTGGAGCAGAGAGACAGGAAAACTTCGCGGGAGCAACCCCTCGTTACATCAACCAGAACAGAATGGGAGTTGTTAGCCTAAAAAAAACACTTGGAGACATACTGAGGAGGAGATTGGAACACTTAGTGTCCTGTCTGATGAACGATGAGGATGACCTTGTAATCAACAAGGAACAAAAAAGCTGCTGTGGAGAAGATAGGAGCACTTAAGGATAAGCCTAAAGTGTGATGAAGAATATCTTGTAATGAAAAAAGATATAATGTCAGCAGGGCTTTTATTCTAGAAAAAAAAAAGTGCTGATAATCATCCCATATTGTTTTTTTAAAGGCTGCCAGTACTCACCAGAAAGTGTCTATTACATTCACACTGAAACAAAATGATGCCTCAAAAGGGTGCCGGTATGTATCGCCAAAACAAGTCAGCCCTGCATGTCAACCACATAATCTTTTTATTTGTTTACTCTTTAAAAAAAAATCATCTTTTCCTTTCAATACTAAACAGTCAGTCTCAGGTTTCTCCCTATTCACACATTATCATATCTCTAATTTTCATTGGAATTTAAGTCTTCTTCTGCATTCACCCTGAAAAAGGACAGTTGGTATGTTGTGTTGTGGCTTTACAGCAAGGCTGTAATATCTGCACATTCCAGCCCAACAAATTTTAGGATCTCTAATTAGTCACCTTTTACAACATGCCTGTGGAACAGTGACCCCAGGAACACAATCGAAGAAAAATAAACTGCAAGTCTTAGTCAAACATCTGCAGACATTAGGATAAAGCCTACTCTATGTGTAGCTTCACTGGATCTATGCAAGAGTGTCGGTGGTGATGTGGAGAACTGTTATACTGTTGAAGTTTGTGCAAACATAATTCCTTTAACACTAATGTATACGATGGTTCTAGTTAACCATCAGCATATAAAATAACCAATAAACTCATTCATTTTAAATGGATTTATATGAAGGACCTGGCAACTATATCATGTATAGTGATTTTCTTGGTTATAAGACAAATCAAAACACTATGTAAAGTGTTTGGCTATTCTCACTGTTCCAGCATTTCATGGACAGTCAGGACTTGTTAATACTGAAAAAAAAAAAAAAGCTGATGGTACTCATCACAAAGAATCTAAACAAGTTGCCAGAGCTTGCCACAAAATGTCTATTACAGCAGTGCTTAATAAATGAGATGAGAAAACAAAAAGGTTCCAGTTCTGCGTACCGCCGGGGACAAAATTCCATTCTTTTAGGTGTCACATTGGCCACATTTACTTCCTGCGACATATTACTGTAGCTATATTAGATTGGTTCAATCTTGGAGCTTCCGGTTAATTGTTAAAATCTGCTTTGATTACATTTGCAATGATCCAGCTAGCAACACTAAAACTTATGCGTGATTATACCACTACCGTTTTGTCTCACAGCACATGCTAGGCAATACAATGCTGCAGGAACAACTGTGAGTGGACAATCTCCTTCCAGCAACAGTTTCTGGAGCTCTTCAACACCCCCTGTCACATAGAAATACTCCTTGGATGCAGCTGAAAATATCAGGATCATTTAAACATTAATACTGAAAGGAAAAAACACAATAAAGCTTATTAACATTAAATTAAGGTAGGAATATGATCTTTTATAAATGTTTAATCATCATGAAATGCTGAAATTGTTATTAACCCCTTCACTCTAGGAAGCTGTAAACTTGTCACTTCTGGTTAGTTCCAATTCTTTGAGAATCTTGCTTAACCGGCATTTCTACAGTGGCGTGATTATGAGATGCCTGGTTAATGCCATCTGTTATTGTTGCACCTTCACATAGCATTAAGGAAGTCATGAAAGGAATATGTTTACTGAAAATAGCATCTGGGAGTTTCCTTGAGAACTAAATAGCTTTTTAAAAGCCAAGCTGAGATCAAATGTTCTGATAAGCCTCAGAGATAGAGGTCATGGAATGCATCACCAGATACAGATTTTTACACAAACCTAGGGAATTTATTCTTTTTAATGCTTCACTTTGTTTGTGTTTATTTATTAATCCTTTTATATATTTGGTACTACTCATGAAAGTCACCCCATCTCATTCGGCTAAGAAATTTTGTGGCAGTTTCCACAGGCTGTCCTATGCTCTAGGAGTGTTATGAGATGCCTTCTTTCACCGTTTATATACACCATGCGGAAAAACTGGATCGCATTTGTTCGATTCAGTCGACACACTGTGTACCAGGCGAAAGTGCGCAGTTTTCTTTTTGCAACTCTCTCTTCTCTGAATGACTGTTGTTTCTGCAATCTGTTGTTGTGAGTAGCTTAAGCGCCATAGGCTCGCTCACGCTGGCTCTCCTCCGTGGTGGGTGTGCTTAAAAACATTGAAAATAAACACCCCTAGAACAAAAGACAGCCCGTGGGAAGCGCTAAGAAATCTCACAGCCGAATGAGAAGGTGACTTTTATGAGTAGTACTATGTATCTTTACATACTTTTTTTTAAATTGTATTATTATTATGGGGGGGGGGGGTAGACCCAACAAAATTATTTAAGTAAAAAATTTGAGTGTGTTTTTATTTTCAAGGATTGGAAAAGGGGGAGGGGGGGAATTCCTACAGATTCATGGCCCCCCTTTTTTTTTTTTTAGGAATTTAGGATATGGCTGAGTATGACAATTAACAACATTATAAGAGAACAAGCGGAACATGTGACAAAGGGAACAGTTTACAGAAACAGAGAAAGAAGAAGACAGAACAGATTTTTGGCAATCTTTCCTTTTGTCAAGGCTTAAACAGCTGACAATGCCTGAACTGTTACATGCTGTTTGAGACTGCATGAGGAAGAGAAGATTACCCACACCAGCTGAAAAGACATTTGATGGTGATGATGGCTAATAATCATCATCATGGAGCAAATCCTTTGAAGAATATTGCTCTTGTCCTGATGGCCCCCAAAAATTTATAAATCTGCCAGTTCTTGCAACTCATGCATTTTTACTCTTAAAAAAATATATCTATGTGTGGTTCCATCCAAGCCCCTTCTTCTAGGAACAGTGTTTTCCACTGTGCTGTAGAACGTGGTGAAATTATTTCAAAACCATCTGTTTAAATGACTCATTCTCTTCAAGGTAAAGATCTTGCAGAATGTCAATATTTTTCTCTTCTTGGTGCACAGCAATCTAAACACTGTTCTGCAGCATTCAGATTAAAAAGCACAGATTTTCTTTTTTAAATGATTGCAAATTGTTTCAAGACACATCAGTACATTGTCATAATAAAGATACATGTTCTCAAAACATTTACTTTAATTTCCTAGCTAAAGTCATATAATAAGTTCCTAATATTGTTAAACCTCTCCATTTCTACGGCCAGATTCTGTTTGATTTCTTTTTAAACACTCCCCACTGTTATCACTTATTGAGAAAATGAAAATGTAATCAAATTTTTATAACATCTATTTATTCATTCATGATACTGCTGATAACACTGAACAATAAGATCCTGACACTGACAAGAAAACAGCCAATCTTTACTAACTATGGGGTGCTGAACACAAAAATAAAACTAAGTTTACTTATTGGCTCTTGTTTAAGAGATTGAGAGATGTCATGTATAAACTACTCAGCCTGCATATAGTAGAAATGTTAGCTTTAAGAAACGCTGTATTTTCAACTACAGAATGCAACATACTGCGTGAATTGTATCACCCAAATATACATACCAATCAAGGGAAAATTATGCAGTCATTAGTAAAACTCAAACTTATGGAATTGGAACAGTAATTTCATTCCTGCGGCTAAATCTAGCAAAAGGGATGCCTCGAAAGTGTGTTAACAGTGCAGGTGACTTTTTTAAATTTTATTTTACATTTGTGGGGAAGTGGCATTTGCAAACTAGGAAAAAAAATCATCACAGCAATATTGAAAAAGGTGCATGAGCTGTTATTCTGGATGCAAGACCAGGGACCAGGACTAAGCCCACACATATGCTGCAGTATTTGCAAGAAAACTTTCAAAGTGGATGAAAGGGAAAAATGTATCGACGCCATCTGCAGTTCCTATGGTTTGGACAGCACCCAGCAATCAAGTAGCTGAATGCTTTTTCGGTCTGGTCCCAACTGTGTCAGGAGGGGTCACAAGAAAAGGACTGGGCTATAGTGAGCCCTAATATAAAATCTGCTCTCCCACCAGCTTCACATGGTGAAGGACTTCCCCTGTCCCAAACCTCCGAAAGACATTTCTATCGAAGAGTTTGACTTTGAAAGAAACCAATACCAGCTGTTTTGCAGCCCTCATCATCTTATAATGATCCACTCATCTACCCCTTGTCATTGGTACCACACATTCTTGCCCAAGTCATGAATGATCCTGTTTACAACCTGGAGCTGTTCAAGGCCAAAGTGGATATATTTGGATCAAGACTTCAACAATGTAATCTCACCAAGGAAAATATCAGAGTAAGTTTTTTTTTTTTTTTTTACTTCTTACGGTCAGTTTAAAATTCTTGGCTGTAATACATCTTTAAAGATCCACTTTCTCCATTCCCACTTGGATTTCTTCCCCAATAACTGTGGCATGGTTAGGCGAGCACTTCACCAGGATATTACTGCAAGAAAGAAACAATACCAAGAAAACTAGACCATTTCCATGCTGGCTAACTACCGCTGGACACTTATCAGAGATGATCCTGTGCAGCTGCATAGTTGTCAGGAAAAGCAACACTGTGAGTTGCAGCGGCCCTGAACCGGTATGTATCATGTGTCCACCACAGTGCTCTATGCTTCTCATTCATTATTTGCTCAGTGACCATCAAATTGGTGATGAACTCAACATGTTGAGCCTTTTGTTTTAAATCAAATCTCATCTGTTGCTGTTTTATGACCATTTTTTTCATGTGTGTGTGTGTGTGTGTGTGTGATAACAAAATAAAAGAGTGTCTGTATAATATAAAGCATATTACAGTATTGTGCAAAAATATTTCTTCTTCAGATTTTAAAAAAAAAACTAGCTAATTTCACCAAATTCATGTTTAGGACATTGAAATCTGAAATAAATGGCTATTTTCCTCTCGGTGCCTTGACTTTCATCCAATTTAGTTGTCCAATCTGACAAATTTCAGCTTTATTTTTTAAAAAGCATGCAAAATAACCAATGAAAAGATGCATTAAAAGTAAAGAATGGTAAAGAGTATATAAACGCTTACATTCAGAGTTGAAAATATTGGCAAGGGCACGCAATGCCTGTTTTAAACCAGATGGATTGTTCCCTTGGCATTTAACATTCTCCAGAAGTGTCAGGATATCTGTCTGTAGTTCTGTCAGAATATATTTACATGATAAGCTGATAAACACTGACGAAACAATCATGATATAAACAGAATGGATAACTTACACATGCATAACGTTCTTGCCTTATTTCAGAATAAACAGGGTCTACCTTACATCTCTGACAACTGATCGTATACATCAATAATATACAGCAGAATGTTAAAACAGCATGTGTAAATGACGACAATATCATAAAGAAATTATCTGTGTTAATCATTACCTCGAAGAGGATTCAAACGCTTAGTAAAGTAACCAAGAAAAAAAAACTATACCCTAGAGCTCCTTAGCTCCTCCAGATTAACAGCATAGCTTCAAACCAAGAGCGATTCTAAGACATGTGCGCTCAATATGGTCGTGGGAACTATCAGAAAACCATTTAACGACGTATGGCTCTAATAAATAACGACTGATTTGGTTTTCAATGAATAGTTCTAACTTAGAACTTGAGAACTTGAAGTCACTGATTTACTTTCTAATTTCTACTGTTTGTCTATAATAACTCTATCCCTAACATACAGTTTTACCCCAAAGGCCAAATAGGTCTGCTTATTAAAAAAAAATACTTACCAAAGTCAAGAGCTTCTGTCGCCAAGGATTCATTCATTTTTTGCATTCGGTAGTCTAATAAAACAAGACGTAGATACAAAGTTAGACGCAGAGCCACTTTCACAAGTTTGCCACTTTCAAGTTCCAGACTTCTGCAACTAAAACAGGGGAGACAATTTTATGGCGCTTTCGTTATTAAAAAGTTGTCGTGTGAAAACGAATAAAGTCCCTCTTTTTTTTTTAAGCAGTCTCCGGTAGAAAGTTCAGGTAGTTCATCCACCTCTGGACTGGTCTCGTTACAGGATTTGAATTTTGTATGCACATTATTTCCACAGATATGGCTTATTTGTATTCAGACTGTTGGTTCTCTCACCTTTCAGACAGTGCACTCTCTTCGACCGACAAACACTTACATCTATTCAACAGACATACTAAGTCGTCCCCTTGTGGGATGCAATTTTCCATTATTTTGAAACCCAACCCTGGCTGTTGTCGGGAGTCCTAATATAAACTAACGGTTGAACGGTGTTTTCTTCACGGTCTGATCCTCATTCACATGGTGGAACTTTGTGTCACGTGGTGTTTATCGCTCTGTGCGATGACCTGGTGGTGAAAAACCTATTTACTTAAAACAAAAACCTGTGTTTTATCCCACTTCCCAATAGAACGCCATTTTTTTTTTTTTTATTTCTTAGCCCTGCCACGGTTGTCGTCAGGGGCCCTAATATAACCTAACGTTTGAACGAGGATTCTGGGACTTACACGTGGGAAAATCCTCATCCGAATGGTGGCACCTTGTGCCGCCGGGTGTTGGTCGCTGTGGGGTTGAACGTCAGTCGGAAAGATCCCTGATTAATATAACATGTTTGTAGTGGGTAGTGGGCCGCCCACCACACCCCGATACCATATTAGGCCTTGAAACACACTCTGGAAAAAAGTAAAGGACACCTTAAGACGCCCTTAGGGAATTTTTTGTATCAAGTTATAGACCTATATTTTCACGACACAGAAAAATAATCAAATGCTACTGACATCATTGGTACTGTAACTCTGTACAGGCTGCTGAAGATTGGGACGGAGTCCTTATGGGAATGTCATGAGTTCTGTAATGTCGGCTCTTGAAGCAACTAAACACATATTTTATAGACAATTTGGCACTTTGTTGAAAAATGGGATCAATATCTAGCCGCATTTACTGCCCAGGAAATAACCCATTATAAGTAGGTAGGTATTTTATACGGCTGTACCGAATATTCGCTTCGTATTCGCTTCGGGGCCGAATAGTGGACTTAATAACTATTCGGTATTCGGCCGAATAGTTGCGGTCGGGACATATACAAATAGTAGTTACTTTACACCCGTTTTTGGACTGGTGGGGGAAAAAAACACATCAAGATTTCCCACCTTGGTTCATACTGTCAAACGTTATCTTTGTGCACCACCTACGAGCATACCAAGTGAGCGTCTGTTTAGTACAGCTGGAAATACCTTCACTGAGACAAGAAGCTGCCTTAATGCTGACAGCATGGAACGGGTTTTTTTTTTTTTTTTTTTAAGATAATGCCGCTTTCGTGGATTAACTAAGATGTCAGTGACAATTTACAAGTTTAGTTACTTGATATAAAACTAAGAATACTTTAATTTCTTAGGTATTAGTTACCACAGACTGACTGACTGACTGAAGGATGCAAAACATTAGATGTTTTTAAATGTTTACTATTCTGTACTACATTTTGTGAAGTAAAATTTCAGCGTACATTTGACATTATGGATTTTTTTTTTATAGATCTTTTAATACACTATTCGAAAGTGGAAGAATGGGCCACAGTTTGAATAGTGGGAAGACAGAAGTAATGGTGGTATCAAAGAAAATAATTATTCCAAAATGTGTAATAAAAGTCAATGGTTTTATTTCGGGACAAGTACAGAAATTTAAGTATCTGGGCACATGGATAACATCAGATGGAAGATGCATTACTGAAATAAGAAACAGACTAGGACAGGCAAAAACTGCATTTTATAAAATGAAGAACATCTTATACAATATATCTTTGTCATTAAAGGATAGAAAACGAATTCTTGCTTGCTACATACATCCAGTTTTAACATATGGCTGTGAGTCCTGGACAATCGGTAGGCATGCCAAACAATTTCTTGAGGTCTCAAAGATGTGGTTTTACAGAACAATGCTTAAAATACCTTGGACAATCACACACACAAAGCAACCAAGAGGTTTTGAAAGAGGCGGGAGCCCGAAGAGAACTACTCACAGACATCAGAAGGAGACAGTCATCATTTTTCGGCCATGTTATAAGATGAGGGAAAATGGAACATGTGGTAACCACTGGAAAGATATGTGGAAGGAGGGATAGAGGAAGACAACAAGGGAAGATTCTTGCATGGCAACGAGGTGTGTCAGCACACGAATTAATACATGCTGAAGGATATCGCAGACTTTAGCGAGGCATAATCACCCATGCCCGTGGCAAAGCACCTGATGATGATGATTCGTATTCGTATTCGGCCGAATAGTTGGTCCAGCTATTTGTATTCGGCCGAATAGTGAAAATCACTATTCGGTACAGCCCTAGTATTTTACCCCACTAGGACATCACACAAGCGATTAACATCCGGTGACACAAAGTACGGATCACCCGTGGAGAGGTCCCAGAATTCCCTTTCAGTTAGGCCATATTTACGGTCCGGCTATATTCAGGGCCCCCGGCAGAAGCCAGAGTGGGGCTTCAAACAAAAAATTACATCCCACGAGGGGACGACTTTTTTATACTATTTTAAATCGGGTCGACCTGGGAGCCAAGGTCATTTTTTTTTAAGGAAATAATCCGAAAATGATTATATCATAGTTAATTTAAGTTTGCACAATTGCTTCTTTTTTCAGTAGTATTAAACAGTTAATATCTGTATACAAATTTAGCGAAGATCAAAGATCAAAACATATTCCTAAATTTAAAGAAAACGAAAATAAAATGCACAGACAAAACTGTCTGTCACCTGAAAATAAAAATAAATGATAAAGAAATTGAAAATGTCACAAACTTTGAATATATAGGCTCTATAATAAACAGTAATGAAGTCTGGCAGAAATCAAAAGGAGGATAGTTATACCATAAAATGATTAAACAGCATTAAAAGTATATGGTGAGTCGCCGTGGCCGAGCGTGGATCAAAAGGTCGTCGGTTCGCTCCCTGGCGGAGCCGGACTGTTTTCAATAATGACCTTGGCTCCCAGGTCGACCCAGCCTTGAGTGGGTACCGGGTGCAGTCCCGGGAAAGTAAAGGTGGCCGGCGTGATGCTGACCACATCACCCATCTTGTGCCGATTGGTCTTTAAAAATATAGGTTTAGCCCTATATGCCCTATACGCCTAAAGGCGTGGAAAAGGGTCCTTTACTTACTTTTTTTTTAAAGTATATGGTTAAAAACCAGCAAGTAGATCAAAATTAGAATTTTGAGAACATGCATCTTCCCTGTAGCAACATACGGTTGTGAGTTGTGGACTATCCTCCATTCATTAAGAAAGAACACAGGAGCTTTGGAACTGAAATGCTATAGAAAGATTCTCAGAAGACAATGGACAAAGAAGAACAGAAATACTGACATTTTTAAACGCCTGAACATCAAGGAAGATTGGCTAATCACAGCATCTTGTCACCGAAGCTGAAATACTTTGGTCATATCAGGCGCCATGACGGATTGGGAAATAATTGTTGTTTGTTGTTTTAGTATCCAGAAGCCATGAGTTGTTAACCCTTAGGCTCGGTATTATGGATATCGCAACCTTTCGGCCTTGATTTCACTGTAAATACAGTAAATCTGGGAGAAATATGGCTTTCCTGCCTACCCCCGGGATTGAACCCGGACCACAAGGAGTTCGTCACCCAGTCTCCGCGCAATCCGGTTTAGCCAACTACGCTAGATAGCCGGGTAACAAATAATTGCAGAAGGCATGGTACCAGGAAGGAGGGGCAGTGACCGACCAACAGGAAGATGGGCACAGGATATAAGTGATTCTTCGAACATAAACATACATGGCGGGAGAAATGGCGAGAGACCGTTTCTTTCAGACCGACCGTGGTTATAACGAGTTCTGCAATGATTGTATTAAGCAGTTCATAGTACATCTTAATAAATCGCAAAACAGAATAATGGTATCACAGATTTCGGGTCGGTATCCTAAAATCCCAGTCTGGCCGCCCGACTACCCGAAGGATATTACGTCAGTAATCTAGGTTGAACAGGGAAACCGCCCAGTATGAGTTAATGTTTTTTTTTTTTAGAGATGGTTCATGCTGTTTAGGTTTCACAGGTGACTTGGTTGTGACCGATCCCGGGTCCTTTGGCCAGACCAGTGAAGCAGAGCTACTCTATGATCTTAGCCAAAAGACCCAAAAGCGTTATTAAATATTCAAAAAGATAGATT